AGTATCCCAGGACAGAAGACAGGTGTCCCAGTTGCACAGTGAGAGTTTGCCTTCTCTACCTTTCTGTTCTCGTGGGGTCCTTAGTGGCTCAGATGAGAGCGCCACACTGTGGAGGGCAGATCTGATGACTCTACCGACTCACAGGGCCACCTCTTACGGCACATTCTTAGACCCTGGACAGGAATCTTTAGCACCAAGCTTTCCGGAGGCCTCAGCCCCCCACTGCTGACTCATTCATCACAGAGATGCTGCTGTAATGTGTCTGCCTTCTTTACACAGCCACAGTGTTTGGAGATACAGCTGCAGTCTACCAACTGTGATGGAAAAATTTAGAAAAACAAAATTTGTCTCTACTGAGCATGTACAGAATATTTTTTCTTGTCACTGTTCCCTAAAAAATATAATATACTATTTAGTTACATAGCATTTACATTGTATGCATATTATTATAAGTCATGTAGAGATGACTTAAAGTTGGTGGGAGGATGTGTATAGGTTTTATCTAAACACTGCATCATTGATACAAGGGATCTGAGCACTCACAGGTTATGGTATCTAAGGAGGGCTCAAGACCCAGTCCCCCCACGATCCTGAGAGGTGACCACACTTGCTTGCGCTTTGCAGTTTGTCCTAACAGTAAAGTAAAGAGATTGCCCCATCGCAGACATCTGTGACACCCTGTGTCCAGCTGTTTGTGCTGCTGAGATAGTATCCAGTACTCTGCTGTCATGAACGATAGTGAGTAACCCCGTACGTATGTGTTAGCTCTCATTCAAGGGGTTTCTTCAGAGTCAGTTCTGAGGAGTTGCTGGCTGGATTGAATGGGAGATGTTTTTGTAGGATTGGGATGCGTCGCCAGACTCCCCTTCCACAGGGAAAAGTGGCACTGGTAGGAACCCCACTCCTAGTAAGCACCTTCCCTGCCCTATGGGCACCATGTGACTTCAGGATTTTATATTTTTGCCAATTTAATAGATGAAAAAAAAATCTTGGTTTGCTTTTCTCTTATTATGAATGAAATTAAACATACTTTCAAGTGGCTAGGACCTTTTCCTTTTTCTTTTTCTGGAGAACAGCCATCCTAATTGGTATGAAGTAGTTGATTTCCTAGTTTTTTAGTCAGTATGTACATTTAGTCTCATGTCTCCTTAGCTTCCTTTTGGCTGTGACAACCTTTTTTCCTTGTTTTTAATAACCTGGGTGACTTGAAGGTGGCATGGTCAGTGATTCTGTAGAATGCCCCTGGACTAGGATTGCCAATATTTTCCTGATGGATGAACTGAGGTTATGGGATGTGGGAGGAAGAGGAGAGTAAAGTCCCACTTCCATCACACCGTACTGAGAATGGTTCATGACATAGACACAGGCCTGAACTCTGGCTAAGGAGTCCTTGTCGGGCTTCTCCACAATAACATTACTAATGTTGCCTTTTTTTCCTCCTTTCGTACTGTTCTCTTTGCAAGAAGGTAAAGCCCATACTAAGGAATGGAGAATTATTCACCAAGATGTGAATTTTTTTTTGCAGTAGTGGGAATCAAACTCAGGACCTTGTGCTTGCAAGGTAGGCACAGCATCACTGAGCTAAATCCCCAGCCTGGTAGTGATTTCTTAGAAAGGACATCAAACACACATGTGTAAATACCAAATAGTTTCCCTGGTATGACAAACTAAAAGTGTAAATAAGGATCAAAATGTATAACTGATAATGTGAAATAGGAAGAAAATATCTAAAGGGTTATGGGAAGTGGGAGGGGTAGGGGAAAGGAAAGAAGGGAAAAGAAAAAATATGAAAAATGGAAACAAAGTCTTTGTAAATAGGAAAGGGTGAAGGGGTTGTAGGGAGGGCAGGGGAATGGGGAAAAAGTAGGAACCAAGGTATATCATGTAAAGGTACAAGATCCTAATGATGAATGTAACTGTACTGTATACCTAAAATGTACCGATAAACTTAATGGGGGAAAAAAAGGATATCAAAAACAAAAGCACCAAAAGAAAAAGTGAGTAAATTGGACATCACTGAAATTAGAAGCTTATGCTTCAGAGGATACCATCAAGAAAAGGGAAGGACAACCCGAGTGTGTTGGTGCTGTCCCAGAGACTTAGGAGGCTGTGAGGCAGGAGGATCATCAATTTGTGGCCAGCCTGGGCAAATTAGTGAGACTCTGTCTTAAATAGAAAAAAAAAAAAAAAAGCATGCATGAGGCCCTAGGTTAAACTGTACTACTGAGA